CCTTTGACGATGACGAATCGGCGGCCATGGTCTGGATCAAGAAATCGAGAAAGAGAGGAGGGGGTTTCACAGAATCTCTCACGGTGAAGGTTCAGTTTGTGAAAGGAAGAGAGAATTTGAGGGAGATGAAGAGGGAGGAGGGAGAGAGCAGGTGGAGTGAAGGAACTGATTGAAAAAGGGGAGAGGGGTTTTTCCTTTTATCGGTATACTCGGTTATACCGAGTAACCGACGGTTACTTACCGAGTATAGGTCGGTATACCGACAACTGGATTTCTCCTGTCGTATACCGACACCGCCGGTTATCGGTACGGTTACAGGTTAAACCGTTGACCGGCTAACCAGTTACCAGCCCTAGATGTGGGTTGTCTTTAATCGAAACGTATTTGGCTTACTACTCATATTAGTAGTGATTTTGTAGTAGATATTTTTTAATAGTGATTTTCTTTTGAGTAATGCTGACTTTCCATTTTGATTGATTTATATTATCAACCTTTTCTAAAATTCATAAATCACTAATAATGCAAAGTTCCTAAATAACTACTAATAGCAATTTAAACACTACAAGAAAATATAAAATCACTGCTAAACCCACAAAAGCAGTACGTGTAAATCATCCATCACCGTTAATTAAAAATTCGGAAAACACTACTAATTACAATAAAATCATTACTAAAACATGAGATCCAAACCACTACTAATTTAAGTAGTAATCAAGGTTGTCAAACTGGTTTATTCCAGTGTGCCGGTTAAGCAAGTGGAATGGTTCGACCGGTGGCACATACCGGTCAATATTAGGGGAAAATCTCAAAGTACACTAGTTGTTAAAAAAAATTTCCCAAATACCTAAGTTATAAATTTTTTTCCAAAAGTACACATGTTTGAGCATCACCGTTTTTGACAAACGCAGTGAATAATATCACCGCGTTTGTCAAAGACGGTGAATATTTCACCGTTTAAAAAAAAAACGGTGACGTGTTCACCTTCTTAGTTTAAAACGGTGAAGACATCATCGCTTTAAATGGAAACGGTGAACAAATCACCGTTTTAATAAAAAACGGTGAACAAAAGACCGTTTTAGTGATCCACGGTGAATAGACGCGGATCGCTGACGTGTACCAACGCGGGGTATTCACCGCGTTAAACAAACACGGTGAATACCCCGTGTTTGTTTGCGTCAGCAATCCGCGTCGCTGGCACGTTCACCGTGGCCGTTGGATGCGGTGAGGCGCGGATCGTGGTTTTCTTTCCAGATTCGACGCCTCACGCTGAGCCACGTCGCTCGATCGGCGCACCTTCACCGTCCTCGAGAAACGCGGTGTCTTCACCGTTTCTGACGGACGCGGTGAACACTGGGAGAATTAAATTCTCGGCAGATCCCTTCCTCCCTTCCCCCAGCTATAAATAACCCTTCCCCTTTCACTTTCAACTCACACCACAACCATTTCACTTCTTTCTCCCTCAATTTATCCGCTCTAGTCTCGTTTTAAGTATGCTCTATGGTTGCGGCTAAGTCCGATCTTCCACATCAGAAAGAATTACTAGAGTTTGACCCTAAAGCCCCCGTCCCGCTAAGTTCCCGTCCCTTACAAAGCTAAACCCGTCGAACCTCTGTCCGGCTTCCGCCAAAAAATGGACGAAGAGGCTCTTCGTGTAGGTTTTTGGTTTATGATTTTTTTTAATCGAAAAGATTTGATTTTGTGTTTTTTTTTTATCAAAACAATCTCTGATTTCATTACTTTTTTATAGATGGGTGCCGAGATATACGATCCTCGATTGTATATCCATTATGGCCCAAGGGATGCGAGTCTCTTAACCGATCAAGAAGCTCATCGCTCCCGTGCCATTTGGGATAACAATCCGGTAATTTGATGAGTATTCTTGCTTTATTTTATTATTTTCTAATGTTTTATTTTGCTTTATTTAATCTAATAAATTGATGTTTTTCCTATTTTTTTAAGAATCTCTTGTTCCCGTGGTTCATAAAGGGACCAATAACTTGCCCGCTTGGCATCCAAGGTTGGAGCCCTATATAGCGAGGACCGGTTTGGGAATGTTGCGCCATTTCTTGCGGATCGAGATCGACAACGATCTGCTTACGGCAATGGCGGAACGATGGCGTCCCGAAACCCATACATTCCACCTTCCGGAGGGGGAAATGACGATCACCCTCAAAGACGTGGCGATCCTCACCGGGCTTCCTATTTCTGGAGATGCCATCATTGGTTCCACGACTATGTAAAAATTGAGTTGGAACCTGTGTGTAATATGGCGTGGGGTGCCTCACGAAATGCCGCCTCATCCTCGTTATCATCAGTATCTTCCTCCTCCTCGCTCACTGATCTCAAATCTTCCTCAGTATCCTCGTCGCTCGACTCGAATGGATAGCTCGGGCCAGAAGGATCAATATGACCACGATCACCAACATTGTCTTCTCGCTCATGTGAAGTACGACCTGATCGAATGGTATTCTCGATTTCAGACCACTCTGGCCCCCAAGCAGGCCATTGAACACCATCAGCCTCAACAAATGGGGCTGGTTGAGGAGGTTGCGAGTATTCTTCCGATGGCACCCATCCTGAACTACTACCTCCACCGTAGTTGATTGAACCACCACCCTCCCCATAACCTCCTGTATAACCACCGCCTTCATAGTTGCTCGAACTACCACCCCATCCGTACCCTCCTGCAAAACCATCATCATAAGAATACTGGTGAGAATGAGATTCACCGACCGCCTCGGTCTCAACATACACCTCTGCAAACCGGACTTGGTTATCGCTTAGGAACTGTAACATCATCGTAACCGCGTCATCATTGTTTATGACAACTTCTTGGAACACGACCCCGCCAGCACTCATGTCTGGATACCGGTAAGTAATTTTGCCAAGTCTCGTCTGTCCGCTCGTACAAACCCTGTCTGCACAAATATCACAGAGTTCTTGAAAATTGAATCGGGAATCAATTTGCAGCATAATGGATTCGCCGTCCTCATAATCCATGCCTATGTCAGAGTTTGTCACCCTTCCATTCCACCGAATAGTAAGATGAAACTTCTTGAATTTACCCATATCTACAATTTACAATAAGTATCTATTAGCTTAAAGACAGTAAAATTAACCAAAATCATATTGTACAACTAATATTATCCATCTCATAACCAACGAACATAAATTCAACTAACTAACAACAACATAATACGAAAATTAAATCATACTATAACTAACGAACATAAATTCAACTAACTAACAACAACATAATACGAAAATTAAATCATACTATAACTACTAAAAACATAATTAGACTATAATACGAAAAGTATAGACATACCGAAAATTTTCTGTTCTGTGTATTATGCTCGATTTTGGTTGCTGAAATTTGAAGAAAGGGGAGTGGTTATGTTTTTACAACTGCTGGTGGTGTGCTATTTATAGGAAAATCTGCCTACTATTCACCGTTTTTGTCGAACACGGTGAAGACCATCACCGCGTTTGTCTCAAAAGGTGAATAGTTGGTAGCTATGACCTAATTTTGACCTACCAGGGGTGGGAAACGTGGGAAAAGATCACCGCGTTATCCTACAACGGTGAATGTTTTCACCGTTGTTAACTAAAACGGTGATCTATTCACCGTTCTAATCAAATGCAGTGAATACATCACCGATTTAGAAGAAGGCGGTGAATACGTCACCGTTTTGCTTTTAAACGGTGAAATATTCACCGTCTTTGTCAAACGCGGTGATATCCTTCACTGCGTTTGTCAAAAACGGTGAATGCCAAACATGTGTACTTTGGGAAATTTTTTTATAACTTATGTATTTTGGGAATTTTTTTTAAGAACGTGTGTACAGTGGGATTTTTTCCTCAATATTACAAATAAAATTATAAATATTCTTATTTAAACATGACATTTAACGTTTATACTCATGAAATAAACAATAAAATAATTTTTATCAATTAAATTCACTAAAATAAGGTAATTTTACTTAGAGATTCGTATATCGATCATGACAGTCACACCGGTGGTGTCACACCGATTTTATGACCGGTACCGGTTGAACCAGGTACAACCGGTGGGACGCCGGCCGGCGTGACAATCATGGCAGTAATGAATTGAGTAATAAATTGTCTCCGTAGAAACATATTATAATATATAGAGGAGAGAGAGAAAAAACATATTTTAATGTGTTATTTAATTTATATTTTCAAAATACCAAACAAGCCCTTCAATATTTACCGCCGTCATATTCAACCTGGAAAAATGGATGGTGATTAGAGTAGTTAGTATGGTGCTAACTACTATGAAGTTAGCACGGTAACTTCTCCCAATGACTTAAGCAATATGCTTAAACTTTTGGGCTTACGCATAGGAACCCAGACCCAACCCCTTTAGGAGTAGTCATGCTATCTCACTCCGGTATGGAAGTATAACTCCCATATTCAGGGTACAATTTCAGGTCAATGCCTTTTATACTATACCTTTTAGAACGATTATCCAAATAATCCCGTCTAAAATCATGATATAGCAATTGCGATTATACGTTGATGTCATTGGATAGTCCCTTACAAAAGCGTTACTATTTGGCTGGTTTGGCCGAGTATATGCATGGATAGGTTATCCAACCGTGTTAACATGTTTTGATCGACCTCCACATCAGAATAATAACTCGTATCGTGATAATTAAAGGAAAATCTGCTCCATAATGACTTCATTATCTTATTTTTACGAGTCATTAATCCTCATCCTATAATCTTTCTCAGTAATATATTTTTTTTGACAATTTTCTCAGGAATTTGCTGCATAACTAATATTATTCTGCTAATTTCATTTTGTGGGCGGGAAAGGTTCATTCTATCAAACGCGCAATAGCCTACCCGCCCTGGTCGTTGGCGGGAGAAAGGAATTAAAAATAAGCCATCCACCGTTTAAAAAGCCAGCGTGGCAGTCAACGACTGGCTGCTGACCCTGACCACCACCTAAATTTCCTCGCTCGGGGAACCTCACTTCTCCCGCGCCGTCCTCTGCCGCCGCCCCCTAATATCTTCCCGCCAATTTCTCTCTCTACTGCGACTAGGAGGACACAACAAATTTTGATTGGTAAACACATAATGGTTTGAAGAAGAAGAGGAACAAAAAAACAATCTCCAAATATTACAAAGATAGAACTAGAGAGAGAGAGAGAGAGAGAGTGAAGAAGACGGGAAGCAGCTGGAGAAGTCGCCGGGGAAATGGGAATCAAAGATTTGCTCAGGTTCATGAAACCCTACATTGAACCAATTCACATCAAGAAATACGCCGGCAAGCGTGTAAGTACTAGCCCACATTTTCCGTTCTTACAGTGTGTTTTTTTTACATTGTTTCTGTTGTTCTGACAGTATGTTTCTTCCCCTCAGGTGGGCATTGATGCATATTGCTGGCTGCATAAAGGAGGTAACTTTCATGGCTGATGTTCTGGGTTTATTGTAGGGTCTATTTCTTCTTCCATTTTGATTCAAGGGTTTTTACTATCTCTGCAGCTTATTCATGTAGCATGGAGATTTGCCTCGATTCGAATAGCCAGAGGAAGTTTCGATACTTGGACTACTTTATGCACCGCATCAATCTTCTTATTTATCACAACATCATTCCAGTGGTTGTGTTAGATGGGGCTAATATCCCATGTAAAGCTGCTACAGAACATGAACGCCGCAGGTTTTTTTCCTCTCCTACGTTCTTGTTTCTCTTTTAGGTCATTATTAGGTTGTGCATTTGGTCCATCTTTGGATTTTACCCCTTTGGGGGTTCTCAAATCTTAGGGCTCGTTGATATAGGAAAAGAGAAGCTAATCACGAGTTGGCAATATCAAAGCTCAAAGAAGGGAATGCTACTGCTGCACTAGAGTATTTTCAGGTGCGTGAACAAATTTCTTAACGTGCCACTTTTTTGACACCCCAACCAAAATGCTTGCTAGGTCTTCCTTAAATCATTCCCTGTTTCTTTGTGATTGTCTATCACGCAGAGAGCAGTGAACATCACTCCATCAATGGCAAATCAGCTTATTCAGGTGCTCTCACGGTTATGTGAACCCTTCAATTCTCATGTGTTTATTAGTTGTCTTCATTTCTTCTGATTTTTGAGCTATTCCTGTGGTTTTCAGATACTAAAATCTAAACAGATAGAGTTTGTGGTAGCTCCATATGAGGCTGATGCACAGTTAGCCTATTTGTCGAGTCTCGGAGAAGAGAGAGGTGGGGTAGCAGCAGTTATCACGGAGGATAGTGATCTATTAGCATACGGTTGCCAAGCTGTAAGAACTTCCACGAAAACTTTGATTTGTGGGAGATGGAGGAGGTCTAAGAACTCGCATGATTGCTTGTTTCTCGATATCAGTCTCCTCTCCACTATATGATTGTGATCCATTTACTGGTCTTGATATTTTGTACCTGGTTTATGACAGACCATTTTCAAGATGGATCAAAACGGCAATGGTGACGAGCTAGTCTTAGATGGTGTTTTTGACCCAGCAGTATCTCGCAAACCATCATTCCAACATTTCACTAAGGAACTGTTCACAGGTCAGTAAAATAAATATTCAAGAATCAAATGGAAGAATGATATCATTGTTGTAAAAGAAAAGACGAAGCTCTTATTAATGTGTTCTGCAGGCATGTGTGTCCTAGCTGGGTGTGATTTTCTTTCATCAGTTCCTGGAATCGGCATCGTAAAGGCTCATACAATAGTTTCCAAGTACCGCAACTTGGATAGGGTGAGTATACTTCTCTAGTAGTTACACGAATCCTGCACATCTTGGCATAATATTGAGCTTTACGTGCATATATATACATATATATCAATTTTAGATGTAGTGTTTCAATAGTTTCACCATCTATCTTTAACTTTTCTTAGATGATGGGCTTTCAGTTGAATACAGTTTCCAATGCAACTTTTCTTAGTTGCATTGGGTGCTTAATGTTGTTTGGTGGTGACATGAATGATTACAAGTATAGTCACAGTTAAACACTCAGTCAGGGACCAAAAAGGTTCAAGTTTTCCAACTGTTAATTGGGGTTAGCCAAAAGAGTTCATTGTTAGTTAACTGGCTGCTGACAGGTTTTATCAGTCTTGAAGTTGGAGAAAGGAAGCAAAATGCCAGAAGATTACATCAAATCCTTTAAAGAATCACTTGCAGTTTTCCAACATGCCAGAATGTAAGTTCAGTCCATGTTGAGTAATTCACCAAGAATCAACTTCTAATTATACCATTTCAGAATTGTGTGACCAGATGGTCATTACTGTTCTTTCTGCACCTTACATGATTCATAATTAATGTGGACAGTTATGATGGCAAGACAAAGTCAATGAAACACATGAATCCCATTTCACAAGCTTTGATAGAACTCTTCTCCGGAAAAATGGATTTCCTCGGGCCGTATCCTTTGCTCTCATGATTTCAAGCTTCTTTCACCAAAACTTCATTTCCTGGTAACCTAACCCTTCCAAAAGTTGCTGCAGAGGTATTCCTTGACTAACCGTGACAATGAACAGAGAAGTTCCATCTTCGGTAGCCACTGCAATTGCTGAAGGAAATTTAAACCCGTTAAATTTGGAATCATTTGATTGTTTGCCAAGTCCAAGCTCACAATCAGTCACAGGGGTTCTCACAAATACTTGCAAACCCAACAAATCTGAAGGCGTAACGAGTTTCAGACGAAAGTGCAGTTTTGTGGATGCTCAAGTTCTCGAAACCAGAATTGAAAAGGAAAATATTGGTAAGTTTTTCAACCACAATTAGTTAAACTGGAATACTTTCTGTGGGTTTTTAAATACCAGGCATTGAATTTCAGGTGAAAGCAAGTGTTTAAAGGAAGCTTTGGCACTTTACAGAATAGGAGTGCCATCTGAAACCCTCAAGGAAACAGAAAGTGCTGTAGCTCCTGATGAAGTTTCAGTTCCATTGAAGGTTCCTAACAACCCATTTAAGATCAAGACAGCAGCAGAGGAAATTGTATCCAACGATTTACAGTTACAGGAGAAGACTTTGAGTACTTGCATAAGCTATTATGAGGATATTACACCAGAGGGTACTCCTGAAGTGACTCTTTCTAAGAAAAGAAAGCAACTGGATTTGGATTCATGCTGCAAGAGTCTTACTGCAGAACAAACATCGGAGGTGATTGAGTTGCAGATTTCGGAGTCCTTCGATTATAAGCAATCACAAGAAAGTGTGAATTCAAAGCACACAGAGCTCTTCTCAGGAGGAAAGGGTAGACTTCAGAATAGGAAAAAGAAAAGTACTACAACTGATTCAGGAAGAAGTAGCGCTAGTACAATTTTGAACTTTTTCTCTCGAGTGTAGGAAACTTGTCTTCAAATGGTACATTATGAGTGGCTTACCACCTTAATTTTTCATTCACCTTCAAACATGGCACATAATGGAAGCACTGTGAAAGCATCCAAGAACATGTTTCGTCGTGTTTGGAAGTGTTCAGATATTGGCCCCGACCAAGCCAAGAACTTGTACGAACACTCCCTCCATTTAGAGAGGCTTCCAACTACCAATTTGTCGTATGCTATAGAAAACTTTAGCAAGGCCTCCCAGCCAAGAACCGGATACATGGAAGGTAAAGCCGTTCAATATCGTTAGTCACAGTTGATAGTTCTGTTGTGGCTTTGTTATAATGATTCATAAGCATTCCATTATTGACCTTACTCAGCATATCACTCTCCTGCCTTTTCCTTTCTGCAACCTTGGATATATGAATGAGAATACATTGGTTTGCCAACTCTAGCTTCAATATTATGGACTTTTTTGGTTTTTGTATTTCCCTGCAGTTTCTTGTCTCGGTATATTTTAGCCTGGTGAAAATTAGTTTTCCTTTTTGGTAACTGTAGGCTATGACGAACAAATGCTTGGCCTAGTGGTAATACCACTAGTTTAGAACTTGGAGGTAAAACATAGGCTATGGATGAGAAGATAAGAGAGCTATCCAATTGCCACATAGTTTACCCTGGGCTCGGCTTTCATAATTTACAAGAAAAAAGTACGGTTAATGACTGATAACCTATGTATTATTCCATCATTTATTTTCTTTGAACTCGAGGTTAAGCGAAATGACTAAAGATGTAAAGTCAAATATGAACCAAAAAAAAAGTACGGTTAATGATTGATAACCTATGTATTAAATGCGGAGAGTAGGAGCTCTCTTCTCTCTCCTCCGCCTCTCCATTCGCATCGGAGAAGTGTTGATTGCTGTGACCTCGACGATCCTCTTGTTTTGCTTAAAGAATCAATTTCGTCAGCGGAAGAAAAATGGAAACACCTCCACTAGCTCGCCGACGACCCCTCCATTGGGTAGATGGATTATGGGGACGGCGATAAAAGATAAACCCTCCTGCTGGCGGCGGTTTCGTTTCCAGAATCGTCTTCTTGGCCATGAAGCCAATATACAATGCCATCCCAAAATAATGGATGGTAAACGGTGCCTTGATGCTACTCAGAATATAATTGACGATTATAACATTGGGCTTTTAAAAAGAAACGCACGATAAAAGAGAATGTCTGGCGATTCTCGCTCCCTAGTTCATGGGAGTTTGATCAAGATTCCTTCACGGTGGCTGCTATTCCAGCGCCTCCTATGTCCGCCGGCATTATAAGCCCCGTTGTTGATGGTGAAACCCAGGTCCAGAAAGTTGGTCTCCATGGCGAGATGACTGTCAATTCTGTGGCCGAGAGAAACCCTCTGTCCAGCCGGAAACCTACCGACGGTGATGGGCATCATCGCAATCCGGGGACGATCTCCAGCGGATCTGTTGGGCGAATATCTCCCCTGGATTCCAATCCCGTTTTGTGCGGGCGTTCCCTTCTCTCTCCCGAACGATTGGGTACTCAAAATAAGAGTCCTACAACGGGAATAAAACTAATAAACCTAAACCGAGCCGGAGTGTTTTACTCGGAGAAGGACTCTGCTTCTCCCTTTAAAATCCCTCTCCCAGGTTCATTCCTCACTACTCTTCGTAGGTTTGAACGTCCGCGAAAAACTACTGCCTCGCGTCTAGCTCCAGCTCAAGGTACTATTTCCTTCCCTTCTGCCTTTTTAAGTTTAAGATTGGTGGTTGTGGTCTTCCCAAGGGCACGGCGAGGGAGAACTTACAGTCTACGTGCATGGACGTCCTGCTTACCAAGAGTCCGACACCAATTAAGGTGAATCGGCTTGATGCTAATTCGGCTTCTCTCTCATATCCCTAGGCTTTAACGATGTCTCGTGCTGCTTCCGATCAAGTGGTGGAGTTTTCAATGGAAGAAGTCCAATCTCCCAAGTATCGAATGACACACTCTCTGTTGGGCCGTCTCTTCACCAATAGACGGATCAACACCATGGACATCAGGGATGCTCTTCTCACGCACTGGCAGGTGAAAGGGACATTGAAAGTGGTGCTGACCGAGCAGGGGTTAGTTGAATTTACTCGGCCATCGGCGAAAACCAAAACATGGGTCCTTAAACGAACACCTTGGGTGGTTAATGACATGATCTTACACCTGCGTTCATGGACGCTGAACATCTCGAAAAGCATATATGACGACCTGGCTATGGTTCCGCTCCGTGTACAAATGTGGAATGTTAGGGATGACTACTGCACGCAACAATTTGGTAGGAAGATGGCTGCTAGTAAGCTCGGCCAGGTCCTGGAAGCGGGGGTTTTTGCTAGCCATGAAACTGGTGAGCGCTTTGTGAAAGTGAGATCGGTGATTGATCTCACTAAACCGTTAAGATCACAACTCATGGCTGCCAATGATGATACTGGCCGCTTCTGGGTCTCATTGAAGTACGAATATCTACCTTCTTTTTGCTTCAATTGTGGACGGGTCGGGCACTTCATTAGCGACTGTAATTTTGAACCCCCAGTGGGTAACGAGAAATTTGGCCCTCATATGTCCACCAAGAAGCTGGGTATTCGTCTCTATGACGCGGAGTATGATGTTCAACAATTTCGTGGTAAATCAAAATCTGTTTGGATTAATACCGCGTTGGGCGACTCCATTCAAGGACAGGTGCATACTCGGCCACAAGGGGGTGTCACTCAATTGTGCCTTGCGGGCCGCCATGCTGATTTGAAGGGGGCTGCGAGCCCTAGGCCTGCTCAAGGAAGGCCTGCTCCAAATCAAAGGAAACGCAGCCCAAAAGGCTTCCCCGTGCGTCGCTCACCACGGGCTCGGCCTGCAAAACAGTACCGCCAGCGATCTCCCTTGCCGGGCCGTGGTGGGCCTCTACGGGTTGAGACAGGGCTGGCTGATGGCTCAAGACGGGATCGTGCTGGGAAAAAGAGAGCGAAGCCCAGCTATCAAGGGAATAAGCTGAAGGACCTGGCCTCGGGCCGACCCAGTAAGCAAGGCGGACGTGCGGAAGCCCATCATTCCCCTGCTGCACCAAACCCACCGCCCATTCCTCTGCCACTCAAAGCCCATAGCAGACACTCAAAACCGTGAAAGCATGATGGGTTACAGGAGGCGTCTGGTGAAAGCTGCGACTATTTCTGCGTCCAGGGAGACTGACAATAGTCATCAAGCCCAATTTATGGAGGCTGCGGAGGAAATAATGGATCCTTCCTCGGAGGAGGATGCTTCCCACTTTGAAATTAAAAAGCGGGCCCCCAGGAAGACATCTATTAAGGCACACCAAGGGCTGAAGGGGCGTGTTCAGCAGGTTGTGGCTGCTTTCGAAACTGGGTTGCACATCAAACCGGAGGATGATGACCAGGGGTGTCAAGGTTTGGCCCCAAACATTGTGCAAGGAATGAAGGATTGGGATGATGATGATGCTGGTCGTGATAATGGTCAACTTAATGAATATGGATCCAATCTTGATGATCCAGATTTTGACATTCGCAAGCGCCCTTTGAGTGCGATTGATGGGGACTTGGGGGAGGAACCCAGTCCCAAGAAGCAGTTTGTGGAGGAAGATGCTGATAAGGTGGAGGTAGCCAGCCAAAAATGGCCCAAATTGATAAATGAAGATCCTCGCCTGGAATGTGAGAGGAATTGAGCCATCCCTCACATTTCAAACTGCTCTTGGTTTAGTTCATTCTAATAAGCCGGATCTTGTCTTCTTTTCCGAAACAAGATTGCGTAGGCGAGTAGTCTCCCATCGTATGCGGGGTTTAGGTTTTGATAATTTTCAGTGTTTTTTGTTGATGCCATCGATTCTTCTGGTGGTCTTGTTTTAGCTTGGGCCCCCGAAGTTAATGCTTCGGTTTTTTTCCATTCCAACTTCTGCATTTGTACTGAAATTAATGAAGTGGAATTTTTCTATGTTGTGGTGTTTGTTTACATTAGTTGTGTTGAAACTGTTAGAGCTACTCAATTGGCTCAGTTACGGGAGATATGTGAGGGTATCATGTTACCTTTTGTGATCATTGGAGATTTTAACGTGACTCTCCAAGCCAGCGAAAAAGATGGTGGCAACCCCTGGAATGCTTCCCATGCCATCCACCTTCGTGATTTTATCCATGATCTGGGTCTCCATGATCCTGGCTATCAAGGAGACCAGTTCACTTGGACAAATAAACGCATGGGGACGGCTTGTATCAGAGAGCGTCTTGATAGAGCTCTGTGCTCCCAGGCTTGGGTTGACCTCTTCCCTGATACTCTCGTTAAACATTTTACCGACCAAGGCTCGGACCATTGGGCCCTACTCCTTTCCGATAAACCTTATATCCGCTACAGTCGACCACTTTTTCGTTTTGATGCCCGTTGGGCGGATAATCCGGAAGTTAAGGCTATGGTCACCTATGTCTGGCAGGAGGAGATCTCAGGGACCCCTATGTACCAGTTGTGGGAGAAGCTCAAGAAGCTCCGTCATTTGCTCTATGATTGGAGTAGGGCGGGCACCACTAACTCCCTCCGCAATATTAAGACCATCCAGGAGGAAATAGACCGTGTCAAATTGATCCTCCCGATTGACTGGGAGACGGTGAATATGCTGGAAACTGAGCTAAATAGACAATGGGAAGCGGAGGAAGTTTACTGGCAACAGAAATCGCGGGTCCACAGGTTACAAAAAGGGCACAAGAACTCGGCCTAGTTTCATACGGTCACAAGGGCGCGCCGTAAACAGAATTATGTGCAAACCTTCGGAATGATGCAGGGGAGTGGATTACTGAGGAGGGAGGCAAGGCAGATATTGCCACCACGTTCTACCAAACCCTCTTCTCTTCCGAATGCCAGGTGCCTAACATGATAGACCGAGTGGCCGCGCTCCCAATTGACCGGAGGGTCACGAATGAGATGAATGCCAGTCTCACGGCAGTAGTTCTTCCTGAGGAAGTTCTAAGGACGGTCTTCTCAATGGGATCGAAGCAAGCACCAGGGTCTGATGGCTTTACTGGAAAGTTCTTCAAATCTTTTTGGAACATTGTTAGCGATTTTGTCATAGCTGATGTGTGTTCTTTCTTCTCCTCTGGCAGACTGCTACGAAGTTTCAATCATACCTGGTTGACTTTGATCCCGAAAGTTAACAATGTGGAAAACATGAAGCAACTCCGTCGAATCAACCTCTGTCAGTTTATGTACAAGATCATCACTAAAATAATGGCAGAGCGTCTGGCTGGATGGTTACCCCAAATTATTTCTGAAGGGAAAAATGCCTTCATTCGTGAACGTCAGATCATGAAAAATGTCCTCCTTGGGCATGAACTTATGCATTACTTGAAAATCAAGACGCGAGGAAAGAAAGGGTACATGGCTCTTAAGGTTGACATGGAAAAGGCATATGATAGAGTCGAATGGCCGTTTCTCCTAGCGATTCTGGAAAAGTTAGGTTTTAATGCTACATGGCAAGGGTGGATTCATGAATGTCTCCGATCGAGTTCGTTTTGAGTGCTAATGAATGGCACTCCTAAGGGGGTTTTCACCGCCTCGAGAGGACTTCGGCAGGGTGACTCGTTATCTCCTCTCCTGTTCGTACTTTCAACTGAAGGGTTTGCAGTCTTGCTTCGAAAAGGTATTTCGGAAAAGAAATTGGAGGGCGTTAAGGTCGCCCCTCGGGCTCCTCGTATCTCGCATACGTTTTACGCAGATGATTCTTACTTGTTCCTTCGGGGCTCACTTTGAGAATGCGAAAACTTGATTCTGGTGCTTAATGAGTATGAGGAACTTAGTGGGCAGCGGGTCAATTTGGACAAATCATCGGTTTGTTTTAGCCGCAATATTATCCTCCCGGATCAGGAGTTCCTCGCCCAAATCCTCGGGGTGGGGACAGTGGGGGTTCATGATAAATACCTAGGCCTGCCTACCTTGATAGCCCGATCAAAAATGGATACGTTCAGATACCTGGAGGAAAAGCTCCTAGCTCGCCTGCAGGGATGGAAACAGAGGACTTTATCTTGGGCAGCGAAAGAGACCCTGATCAAATCAGTAGCTCTGGCTCTGCCCCTACATGTTATGTCCTGTTTTCGCCTTCCTCTTTCGCTGTGTTGCCTTTTGGATAGACATGTGGCCAGATTTTGGTGGGGAATGGAGAATGGAAAGTCTAAAATTCGATGAATGTCCTGGCGAAACATGTGCAGAAGTAAGCATGATGGAGGGATGGGATTTCGCCGGTTTGAGCATTTCAACCAAGCGCTTCTGGCTAAGATTGGCTGGCGAATCCTTAATGATCCTACCTCCCTTCTGGCTCAGGTGTATAAGGGTAAATATTTTTCCAAGGGGTGATTTCCTACAGGCTACGGCCCGATCTCGCCCTTCTTGGGGCTGACAAAGCATTCTCTTTGGTCGTCAATTGTTATTGAAAGGGCTCCGATGGCAAATTGAAAATGGTCAAGCTGCCCCTCTTCTGGAGAATAATTGGATTCCTCGGTTGCACCCGGAAAACCCGGTTCCTAATCCACGGGTTTTGCCTTGTGCGAGATCCCCGGTGGTGGCTGAGTTAATTGACTCAGGGGAAGGACGTTGGTGTGACGACATGCTGAGTCAATGGTTTGATCCTCCTACCTGTCGAGCGATTAAGGAGATTCCACTTCCTCGTGGGAATGTTGAGGATCGCCTGATCTGGCATATGACGGCTGATGGGGTTTTCACGGTGAAATCAGCCTACCATTTGGCTGTTCTATTAGATAAGAAAGATGGCCAATGGCGATCAATGGCTAGTTGGATGGATATGTCCGGCTGGATTAGCTTATGGAATGCACCTATTCCCCCTAAACTGCGCATTTTTCTCTGGCAAATTCTAAATCGACTCCTACCCACGACAGAAGCGCTTATTGAAAAGGATGTCCCAGTCCATCCCCGTTGCCGGGTTTGCTGGGCTGAGTCGGAGACAATGGAGCATCTGTTCCTCGATTGTCCAGTAGCTCGGGCTATGTGGGATTATGCTGGGTTGGAATACCTTGGTCAAGCCCTTCCTAGACAGACGTTTCCCCTATTCCTGAAAAGGGTGATGAGCTGTATTCATCATCCCCATCTGCTGATGGCAGTTGTTGCTGTTTTATGGTGGATCTGGCGATCTCGTAATTGGGTTGTTTTTTAGGGCAAGCAGTTTGGGATCCCAGCTCTTATGCGCCAATTTAATCATCAGTATCAGGAGTGGATAAACCTGCCGGGGGATAGGCCTCATCCGCGGCCCCCTGCTAGCTCTAGCTCGCCATTGGGAGCGGTCAATGCTGGGTCATTCATTTGTCAGTGGGATGGCGCTACCAAGCGTGACTCTCATTCTGCGGGTGGGATGGTTATCCGCCGGTCTTCGGATCGACTAGTGGTAGGAGCTCGGGGTGTTCAATTTGGTGGCATTTATGATCCTTTGGTTGTTGAGATGCTCATGCTCCGCGATGCTATTCATTTGTATACTGAGGCGGGGTTGACGGATGTACGATTTGAAGGGGATGCTCAGGTGATCGTTGAGAAGCTTACCAGCTCTGAGGTCCGTGATAGCCGGATTGGCGCTTTGCTGGAGGAAGTTCTGCATTGTTTATCTAACCAGCAAGGGTTTAGTGTTCGGTTTGTAGGTCGGCGTAATAATAGGGTAGCCCACTTGGTGGCTCGAAAGGCCCTTCTTTTGTACCCGTCTGCAAGTCGTTTCTTTGATTTTGTGGTATGGCTCAATTCCAGGATGTAACTGCCTTTTTATGATCAATATAGATTATCTTTTGTAAAAAAAAAACCCTATGTATTAGTCCATCATTTATTTTCTTTGAACTCGAGGTTAAGCGAATTGACTAAATATGTAAAGTCAAATACGAACAAAAAGATCAATTTGAGCACCACAACAATAAAAAATAGAAACAAAGAAATAAATTGGTGGGACTTTCGTGTGGACCCACAAAACTTCTTCTCTTTGTTAACTAATCTACTTCCAAGTTCCAATAGCATGAGAGATGGAAAAGAGGGAGTGGGCTTAAGTGGGACCCACCAGGAAGAGCAATTGCCCCTAGAATTGGATTTAATTACGAAAAGACCGTCTAATGAATGTAAATGCTAAATGGGCAACTTCCCTTTTTTATAATAGAACTAGTTTTTAACGCCCTCGCTTCGCGACGGGATGTGGGTTCATAAATTTAATTAGTCAATCGATAATAATGACCTAATTAGCTCGTGGGCTATCCAGCCAAAATTTTCTATTCCAAACTTCATTTAGTATACACATAAACAACGTGCAACAAACTATTATGTTCCGCAGAAAATTCAATAACAACATGGTATAATCATTATATTAGGTAAATAACAATTCAATAATCACTCTCAACACCGAAATTAACAAATAAATGAATAGAAATTTTGATTCCATTGGCATACATGTGTATATTTTGTAAACAAAAATACATTTGACTATGGCTAATATTGGTAAATGAAATCCTCTATAAGGTCACCGGGTTTGCAAGAGATCCCTAGCCTCAGCCTGTAACTTCCCATCGCTACTGCAAACAACAGTTAGCAAAGCATAAATATAGAGAATAAAAGGAAAGTCAAGTTGTAGAAAAGCCAACCAAAAATTGAAAGTCAATAGTTACCAGGATTAAGTTAATGCATTACGTACTCTTAACTAACTATATGCTTCATTCATGCCCCAACCCAGAATTGTGGAACTCCTTACAACAGCTGAAATTCCCAGTCCCAGACCATAATGAAAGAACCCAACGACGATTATATCACCAAGCAAAATCCTTAAATCTTTGGCAAAACAAAGCTCACTGAGCAGCTTTGTTTATTTTGCTTGCAACTAATCTCACTTCAAAACCAACTAACCATGGCAGCAACTGGGAGTTGTCTGTTCCCACATGATCAACGTGAGGAAAGCCAGACCAGAAAGAGAACCTTCTAACCAGAAGACTCATCCGTCCAAAGCCAACTATGTAGTCCAAATAAAAACAGAGAACACGTGCAACCACCCACACTGCAATCCACGCCAGGTTAGAACAGTAAAGATGAGTCTAAATATACAGTGAAAGTAGAGTGGTGGTACAGTGATCGGGTTGTTGGGGGTTTTATTTCTTTCAATGTTATGACTTCCAATTTATCGTTCTTATATGAAGTGCTAAATGGGCTTACGTTATGATGATCTGATCTGTATTTTGCAGTTCAAGGCAAATGCATAATCCAGCCTGATGTTATCCAGATTCACAGATTCTTGCTCTGTACTTAATGATAATAATTCTTTTAACAGTCAAACGCATGATCACTTTGATGCTTGGCCATTTAAAGAACCAGTTGATACCCATGTTGTTCCTGATTACTACAACATCATCAAAGACATCGGTAAGAAGATACTTTTCACTCTTTGATAAACACTTGTAACAAGCAATGTCGAGAATGGTTTCTCTGCTTGATGCTCGTTCGTTCTTGAGAAGATATTGACACTACTATTTCCTTTGTTGCTCACGTTGTCCTAAACAAATGTTCGATGTTTCATACATTCATTTTTTTTTTTTTTTGGCTCTCTGTCAGCAGCTTGATGTTGTGTGTTCTTTTGGTATTTTCAGATCTGAAGACAATGTTGAAAAGGGTAGAGTCGGAACAATATTACGTGACCTTCGATGTGTTTGTTTCAGAGGCATGTTTGCCAATGCACCACATACCACTCCCCGGACACCGTTTACTACAAGTGGCAACCAGGCATGATCGATAGCCTCATCCATCAACCATCAGCATCACACAGTCCTTTTCTTGTTTCTTTTGCTTCCTTTTGCCTCAAATGGCTGTCTTGGAACAGTATTTCAGGTTGGAATCCCATTTCCAGCACAGTTCAATCCGTTCTCCAATCAGGTGCCAAGATTCAGCAGTAGTAAACAATGCAGTATTGTTGTTTGTATACAGTATACCCCATACAATCTCAAGCGCAACAATGCAGTATTTTTGCCTTTACCAAGAACTTCTTGGCGAGCTCTAATATGATCCGATTTTTAAGTAAGCATCTCTTGTAAAATATGAGAAACACCAAATCCCTCTAGAGCCCAATGAATCTAATTTTCTTCCCCCATATTTTGTTTCTACAGAGAACACCACTCGTCAACATTACTTCCAAGAATATGCTTTTCGAAAAGGAACAAAACTGGGGTAAGAAAAATATGTTGATTCTGATGCTATAGAGATTAGGGATACATGATTGATATTCAACTTGGAGCTTTATGGTAGCCCTACCTTTTTCCACAAGTAACTTTCCACGTAGGACCGAGCTGTCTGAAGGGAAACCGATGCATTATCTTAAAATGAATGAATTATACCAGCATTATAAGACATGAGAGTGACCATAGAGAACAATCATCGCCATTGTGTGGATACTTGAGCAGGTCTGGTCTATGATAAGTTGATAACTTAAGCTACATGAATCACTTATAAAAATGTAGGACGATGATACACAACAGCCACTGCATATAAGATTAATTTCAAATTCGATACTGCAAGCCCTAAGAACATATGCCACCCATCCCTCCCAACTATTTCACAGCAAAACGTCATCAGCATCCTTCATTTCTTTTTGTCAACTTTGGCCACTCCTCCAAGATGGGGATGTCCAGAGGTGTTTGCCGCAGCCAAGGCTGGTCGTTGCTCGATACCTGGACCAATAAGCTTCTGCATGTGTGGCATCATAGTAGAGTTCATTCCATTTCCACTAATATTAGTCATTCCATTAAGAGCATGGGAACCAGAACCGGCTATGGAACCCATGTATTTGTTGCCAAAGCCGCTGTTGTTTATTGGTTGCAGATGTGGAGCTGGAGTCATATTTGGAAGTGGTCGGTGAAAGGACTCGTTTGCATCCATGTTTGCCTGGATGCCGCCAGGGTATTGGTGCATCCCCATGTTAGGTACTACAACGTTAGACCTTGCCAAGAGCAATGGGTTCAAACCTGTCACCCGCTTCACCTGTTCTTCAGCCATCTTCACCTGTAAAGTTCACATATAATCACTACATTGTTACCTTATGAATATTGATTAACATCAAAGGATCCCATCAGCACAGTCGTTTTCAGTGTCCGATATTAATTCCATGTCTAAACATGATTATCACTTAATGGTTGGATTGCGATTACTTGTCTATGAAAGGCCCTTGGGAAAGAGTACATGAAGTATGGCGAAGCAACTTAATCATACCTTTGCCCTTAATGTTTCAATATTAGCCTTCAAGACTCTGTTGTCAACAGAAGCTTCATCGGACTTGTGATTCACATCAGTGAGCCTCGACAAAAGCGTAGTACGTTCATCCCTGAGGTGACCAACCTATCGCAATGGGACATACTATTTAACTCACGGTTACAAAGATACAAGAGATACCGTAAACACGGTATTTGCATTACAAACGCACCTGTGTTTCAAGTTCATTGAGTTGCTCTTGTTTTCTTCTTCGAGAGCGTCTAGCTGATTCTCGGTTCGACTGCATCCTAAGAGTATTCATCAGCAAACAGATCAAAACATGTACATAATACTGGCAAAAGAACAACACTAAGATATATAAAGTGTCAACTTTCAATCAATGCGAGTTTTGATAGGTTTGAGGCAGTTAAGGGACAGTAAATCAGACATGGGAAGCAGGATAAATTTTCAGAGCAAATTAGCTCAAGACATTGGCCTAGTTGTAATGGATGTAAGCAGAAAAGTTGATAAGCAAATGACCAAAACAAACCGTTTGCTGTGTTATCCAATTCTTTAAAGACAGGCTAATTGACAACATTATTCAGCAAAGATCATACAATTCCCATAATTACCATCCATCATTAGAGACATTACAGTCAAAACATAAAACTTAACGAGACAACCACTATAGTAAAAAAAAAAAACACGTGGCAACAACATGGAAATTATGAAACAGAAAAGGGCATAATCTTCAGAAGCACACAGAAATTGAAGATCAATGGAAACCAGAAAGAACCATTTTCAATACCTCCTTTTACGCTTCACGTCAGTAGGACCTCCATTGGTTCCAGTGTCCCCTTCAAGATCATCGTCATCTGAATCATCCCTTGATGAGCCACTAGTTGTTTGCCTAGTTAGCACTTCTTGTTTCTTTTGCACCGTGGGTAATGACGGAATTCCAGGTGACCCACGGTCAGCCTCACTCTGTGCAATTGGCTTACTCAAACATGCACCTGCCACATGCCAAGGATATGGGTAAAAAAGCTAAACTGTCAGTTGGATGAGCCCAGGAATATAAACCATAAATCAGTGGTTAATTTGAAACAACTATAACAAACAAAAGGATTTGAGCAGGGATCATGGGAGGTCAACTCACCCTTGATTTTAACCTGTGGATTAACATCATCTACAATAAAAATAAATAGTCTATTAAGATCCAGTTGAAGAACACGAATGAACAGCCCAAGCAATGATTATAGTACATTAACCCAAGCATGCAAGTCACTCGTAAACCACACACAAAAGTAATTGATAAACCATAACATCAAGAACCACACTGTCCACCAGGTACTGACCAACAAGTCAATACTCTTAAGCTAAATATAGATAAATGCCAATCACAGGTTCAGGATGAAGGGATAGGGAAATAGCACAGAGAGATGACATCCAGAAAGCAATTAGACATCTCTTGCACAAATCAGACGATCGGTAAATACTTGCTGGAGATATCATCATAACGACCCGCAACTTCGCAAGCCATTATTCTGACCATGAACACCATCAAGAAAGCAATTAGAAACACCTGTGAACTTAGCATTGAATGAAGAAACTAATTGAAGACAGTGAGGAACTGAAGTTCATATCATATCCCTTACTACCACCTACAAGCTCATTCCTTTAGCTAAGCAACATGGGTTTCTATGATTCAGTTCTTCACAATGACATTGGAAAACCTAGGCAGATTAGTACTGACCTGGAAGTTGTGATCCCAAGTGGAAATTGTTAGCAGATGTAACTGGAACTTGATTCTCAGGCAAAGGAGAAAAATCAGGAGGCTTCACAGCCGTTGTCTGCAATCAAACATCCCAAAATCTCCCCCCAATCAAACACACGAGATCCCTAAAGTCCAACAATTCCAAAAAGTTGATAAAAAAAATAACACAAATCAACGCGCAAGTATACCCTGGTCATAGCCACGGCGGCGCACGCCAGATCAAGCTGGGACTTGAGAAAAACCCGGTACTCTTCCGTATCGATCGTAGCCATGGGAGCGTGATCCAGTGGTTGAGGGAATTGATGAGGTTGGGAGGGAGGATGATGAGCATGAGGATGAAGCTGTGGGGGCTGCTGCCTGATCTCCATCACATCGCTGTTGCAATTCCCCGGCTTCGTCGCTGGCGGCGATTGCGACGGCACTGTGGTCGTGCTGTTGCTGGCGGAGGAGGAACCGGAGGAAGGGAATTCCTGAAGGAACCTCTCCAGGTCCCACTCGGATTGGTTTCTGTTGATTGCTGGCGCCGGCGGCGTAGCCTGCCAGAAGGGGTCGGTGAAATCGTCGGCGGAGAAGACGCTGTGCATTTCCTTTTTCCTGTCTTTTCTTCGCCTTTTTTTTTCCGGTTGCGTGTTCTTCGAGAGGGATCAGATGTCAAATATGGTCGGTTTTGTAGACTTGAAAGAATTCATCACAGCCCTTAAGTGCGATTGAAAGGACACTAAGATAATCTGATGGACCAGATTAGCGAGGGCTATTTCCGGGAATGAGGCGGGGGTACCTTTCCTATATGATTCCCCTTTCATTTCCAACCAATTAGACTTTTTTCTTTTATAACTAATTGGGAATTCTTGAACAAATTTTGAGCCAAAATTCCATAGAGAGAGATCATACAACAAACATAAGATAGGACCCACGTACAAGTGGCATGAAAACTCTAAACTCCTAACCTATCTCACTAAAGAAGAGTTGTAGTCTTGTAGACGCCCAAAAGAAACCTCATCTAACACCCATCGGAAGTAGAGTGATAATCACGAAGGAAGCAACAAGGAGACTTCCGACAACACCAAAGACCATCAGACAGGAAGGACATCGGCAGAAACCTGCAAGAACCAACCCAAGAGGTGTATGAAAACAAACAGATAGAAGGAAGCACGAGGCAAATCGATCATAAAGCCCCATGTTGGTCGATCTTTGCCTTTGAGCTCCATGAATTTGAAACCATGAGAGAAACACAATAAGATTCCCAAGATTTCTCCGAAACACCTACCCGAAAGTGGTGAAGCAAGGAGGAGGAACAAGAAACATGAGGGAGAGGACGAATTGACTTTTTCTAGGTCCGGACATATCACCAACAAACATCTCAATGTGTAGATCTTAAAGATCAAACATATAAGTTGTCCTAGGTTCGGAGCTTTGTTCAGTTCTCCAAAGCTCCAAATTGAGTTTTTCTAAACCTAGATTTGAGCTTTTTGCGTTTGTAGTCGTAACTCTAACGCTGCTTAAGACGTGTTAGGGTTTGAAGGGGAGTTTCAAAGGAACAGTTCTTACTTCTGTTCTAGGGGTCTCATCTTGTGCTTGAAAGAGTAGTAACATGGTACTTACACAACAATGAGTGAGAAGAATACAAAACAATCTAAAGTTATGAAAGATACTGGGGTAAATGCAATATATTAGCCAGAACTATTAACTAGCGAGAAATAATAGCCACAACTATCGAAATACATATTATTAGCCATAACTATCGTTGTGGGTCAAGATATGGCTAATAGTCCGTTACCGTCATTAATTTTGTAACAAAGACTGCTACGTCAGCATCCATGTTGGCGTCCACATAAGCAAATCATTAAATATATAATTTTTGTTTTTTAATTAAAAGATAAAAAGAAAAAAAAAACAAAATTAAAAAATCATACCCTACCCCTCTCTTCTTCTTTCACGAAGACCCTCTTCCATTGTCTTCCTTTGCCCTCCCTTGTCTCCCGGTGGCTCCCTTCTCTTTCCCAAAACCCAATAATCAAAATCCCCAACTACGAAAATCCAACCCTCCCCTGTCTCCGGGTGGCTCCCTTCTCTTCACAGAAAATCCAACCGCGAACCCATCAATTGAAATCCCCAACTGTGAATCTCTCTGATAAACCGCTATCTGCACATATTTTGCCACTATTATTGAACCGTTTGAGAATCGATTCTTGTGTTTTAAACCGATTTCACGCTAGGTTGTGCTTTTATGTCATATTTTAGGATTTGGCGTGAAAAGGGAGGCTTGGAAGCGAGTTTTGGGTCGAAAACGAGGAGTTGGCGGCAAGGAGGAGCTGAAAAGCAAAATATCCGGTTAGGTCACTCAAATACCCGACCGGGTATATTTGGCTGGTAGATAGGGTATTCGCCTAGGAGAGCACAGGAGAACAGATGGCCCCCCCGGTCGAGAGCCCTAAATACCTGACGGGGTAGGGTAATTACCCTAGCTCGGGTATTCCCCTTCGACTACTGCACACCGTTTTAAAAATCCCCGCCCCGGTCCACTTAATACCCGACCGGGTATTTGGACCGAGTTTCGCGGACTCGGGCTGTTTCAAGCAAATCGCGGGTTTTGGTCTATTATTCCAACATGGGAGCTGAAACTAGAGGTTTAGAGAGAGAAAGTGACGAAGAGAGATCCTTGAGTGCTCTAGATCAAGTCCCACACCATTGGAGCTCGATTCAAGCCTCGAGAAGCGATGGTTGACGACCCGGTGCCAATTTCTTCCGTCTACACGATGATTTCCACATCCGACATATCTTTCCACTCTCTCTATATGGAGTAATCCCCTCTATCACTTAGGTATGTAAGAACCCTAGATTGTATGTTAGGATGAGTTGTATGAACCCTTTGCCTTGAATGATTGATTGATTTATATCCAATTGAAGTACTTTCTCAGAATTGCTTGAGTCTTGATCAAATTCTAGTGATTCCTGCTTTGACCTAGAAAGATCATCTCTGCATAGGTCAATAGAGCATCTTGAATTGGAGGTAGTGAATCGGCGACTTTAGTCGGAAGTCGATTCACTGCTCTGTATTGGTTTAGAACCCAATAGAGGAAGTTTGAATCTTATTGCCTCGGTTAGCTTACGCCGGTGGAGGTTAGTCACCCGCCGGGTATTCAAACTGAGAGGGTCCATAGCACTTTAGTCGAGACTTCAGAATTTTTTTCGCGGTTTAAACATCAATCAACTTGGTTTAGGTGAATTACAACTTGGTCTAACTGCGATCTAGGGGGACTCATACCTGAGTGAGCCTTCTTAACTTGAATCATAAATTTACTGCTTTTTGCTTGCTTAGATTAGTTTCAACTTTACTACAGTTAAAAAACTAGATAATAAGAACTTCACGGAGTAGTCATCACATGTAGGACTCGGGTTGACAAGTAAAGTTAAACCCGCTATACTTTCATTAGTTAGTGGTTACACTAGGCCACTTTCTTGTGTGATGGTAAAGGCGAGTCACTCTCCTCCAACTGCGATGCCGGTGACGACACTCAACAACAAGGAAGATCACGGTGCGGCAACGACAAGGAGGAGGGGATGGCATGGAGACGACAAAGAAGGTGCGACAACGACAGAAACGAAGATGGGGGCTTTGTTTTGTGACAGGCAGCGATTTCGGAGCTCGAATCTTCAGGAAGCGAGCCCAAAATGCGATAGAGGTTGCTCTCTTCTCCCTAGATTCAGATGATTGCAGGCAAGGTCATCGAGCGCTGACGAGTGGATGCAGAGTCGTGTCTGGGTGATAGCAATGGCGTGGACGGAGGAGGAGGAAAGCGCTACGGATCTAGGCAGAGGAAGAAGAAGAGGGAGAGACACCATTTTTTCCTTTCATTTTCTTAATTATTTAATTTTTAAAATTAAAATTTAAAAATATGTATGGTGACTGCTACGTAGCATTCAGCTCAGCATCGTAAAACACAGTAAGCATTACTAACAGAATTGTTAACGGAGAGTTAACGTTTGGCTAATAATTTGTATTTCGATAGTTGTGACTATTATTTCCTGCTACTTAATAGTTTTGCCTAATATATTGTATTTACCCAAGACACTGAGATACAAAAGAAGGATTCTACTAATACAGTGGGAATGAGTATTGTGGATGAGGAAAACCCTGAGCTGGAAGGGATAAAAGAGTAGGATATCATGGGAGATGGTTTGGTAACCCAAATTCAGAAGGTCTATATTAAAGAAGATGAAACACTGGTGGTTGAGAACCAGGACTATGATTCTGTGGTCGTTTATGCTGTTGGTTTGTTGGGATTGATAGGGCGCCTTGTTGCTGAAAAAAAGCCAAACATGAAATCAATGAAAATCCAACATCTTTTTTTCTCTAGAAACAACAGCATGTTGACAAATATTATACATGCAATACCTCAAAAAGTTACTCACGAGATGAATGAAGATCTTCTAAAACCTTTCACAAAGGAAAAAATCTGGCAAGCCTTAAGAAAGATGGGTGCTCATAAGGCACCTGGAGTTAATGGAATGTCAGCTCTCTTTTTTCCAAAAGAATTGAAAAACTGGGATATAGTCGGAGATGATGTCACTTGTGAACTTCAACAATTTTTAGAGACTGGGGACTTCCCTCAATCTCTTAATAATATCTTAGTGGCTCTTATCCTTAAAAAGAAAACAGTAGAGGCTCCTAAGGATTTCAGACCCATAAGTCAGCGCAAAGTTTTGTAAAAGATTCTATCTAAAGTTCTGGCAAACATACTTAAGGGTATTCTCAATGAGGTTATTACAGAATATCAGAGTACCTTTATCCCTGGCAAGCTAATAACGGATAATGTGATTTGCGAGCTTTCATGATATGAAAGGGAGGACTCGTGGAAGGAAAGAACTTATGTCAACAAAGCTCGACATAGCAAAAGCTTATGACAAGGTTGAGTGGAATTTTCTGGAAGTGGTCATGACGAAGCTCGGTTTTGGTGATAAATGGGTGACTTTGATCATGAAGTGTATCTCTACAGTTTTCTATTATATACTGGCGAATGGTCATGAAACCGAAACCTTTTTCTCCTAGGCTTGAGACAAGGCGACCTTATATCTCTCTATCTTTTTGTATTTTTTTTTTGAGGGCTTATCAACATTACTAGTCAAAGCTGAACAAAATGGTAAAAAAGGAAGCCCCTTGTATAAACCATCTACTATTTGCTGATGACAGTATTCTGTTTGTCAAGGCAAACTGCCCACAGTGTGTTCATTTGAGGAATATCTAACATCTCTATGAGACTGAATCGTGACAAAAGGTGAACCTTGATAAGTTTGAATTGTCTTTTAGCCCGAATGTGGAAGAGGAAAAATAGCTGGAACTAGCTAGGATTCTTGGAATGCGTATTGTAACATACCATGCTAAGTATCTAGGTCTTCCTACAGTGGCTGGAAGACAGAAGAAAGATGTCTTTAATTACCTGGTGGATAGGGTAAGAACGAAGTCAAGCTTTGGAAAACTAAGTTGTTGTCCTGTGCTGGCAAGGAAACTCTCATTAAGGTTGTAGCTCAGGCACATATGACATATGCAATGCAAGTTTTTTAGTCCCTATGGGGGTTATTCAAGAAATCCAAAGCCTCTTGTTAAATTTTTGGTGTGGGCAACAAAATGGTGAAAAAGAACTCACTAGTTGTGTTGGAAGGAGTTATGTAGGCCAAAGGTGAAGGGTGGTATGGGATATTAAGAAATTTACATGAGTTTAACATTTCTTTACTGGGGAATAAACTTTTTAACCTAATAAAAAATCTGAATTCCTTCGTAGATAGGGTCCT